GGACTCTTCTCATGACAATAATACCTAATCATATATCCCTTTTAAACAGGTCTCTTCCTCATCTGTTTCAATGTAGTATACATTTATCCCCTCTTTCCCCAACCCTGATGTCAGTCCCGTTTTACAACAGTGGCACTATGCAGTGTTTGTCTTTTTGTGACTGAGCTATTTCAGAGTCAACTGATTTATATATTTCATGAGTTCCTTGTTTTTCATTGTAGCATAGTATACCATTGTGTGAATATACCACAATATCTCTGTCCATTCGTTTGTTGATTGGCACTTGCATTGTTTCCAACCCTTTGCTTTTGTGAACAAAGCCGCATTAAACATGGGTGTGCATATATCTGCTCGGGTGTCAGTTATGGTCTCTTTGGAGTATATTCCCAGTAGTGGAATTGCTGGGTCTAATGGTATTTCTATTTGCAACTTTTTGAGAAAGCGCCGTACAGCCTTCCCACCAACAGTGAATAAGTGTTCCAGTTTCTCCACAATCTCACCAGCATTTGTTGTTTGAAAATGATTTCTTACAGAGCACCGGTATGTGTAGTAGACAGTCCGGCTCCACTTGAGTGTTGGGGCAGAAAGGAGGTCAAGGTGGAGTGAGATTCAGGCCATGTTTGTTGTGCAAAGCACTGGAGAGGGAACTGTGGTTCAGCTTTCGACTTTCATCCTGACCCAGCTGTGAGTGGGTGAAGGGGGTGGTAATGGGACCCTTAACTGGAGGATTCCTTAACGCTTTCACTTCAGATGAAATCCACGATGGGATGAACCTGGAGCTGTATTACCAATAAGGCAGAATTCCTTCTTCTCTTACCCATCCATTTCCCCCACCACTATCCTCGGACTGGCATGGACGCTTGTTTTTAAAAACTTTAATAAAAGCTTAGATGCTGTGTTGTTGTCCTCATTTTCATCAGAGAGCTGTGGGAGAGTGGGAGGGGCATTGTTTGTCCATTTTACTCAGTAAGAATTATTAACAAGGTCAGTGTGGGAAAGCAGAGCTCCAATTCTTTATAGAATCAAGAGTATTGTAATTTTAATAGGGCAGGGAAATTCTGGGTGGAGCAGTAGGTGGAGGGGTTAGAAAGAAAGGCTCTGGATTCAGAGGGTAGATGAAATCCCAGCTCAGCCACCAACAGGATAAATGACCCTAGGCACATTCCTTCACCTCCCTAACTCTTCAGTTCCTTCTCCACAAAGAGTCTTTGGGCGCTCCAATGGCCCAGACCATAGGCATAGGGAGTTGTGCGGTTAACCCAAAGGCTGTTGGGATTCCAGAGGCTCAGAGGAAGAAGGTTGGGCAGCCTGTGTGATTGACAGCCTTAGAAACCCAATGGAAGCTCAGCTATGAGTCAGTTCCGCCTAGACAGCAGTGAGTGCATGTAAGTAGTGTTTCCTTCCTTAGTGTGCTGTAGGTGTTGACGAGATAAAGGATGCTTAAACAGCAACAGATTGCTGGCACTTGAAACATGTGGCACAGGCTGTAAGAGCCCTGCCTCACGGGCAGCAGAGCAGCTGGGTGGGAATTCTGCTCATTAGCTGTGGGGCTCTGGTAAGTCAACCTCTTATGTTCAGTTTCCTCCCAGAAAAAGTCAGCATCGTTGGGACCCAGTGGTGGGGTGAAAACAGCATGCTGTCTGGCACATCTTGTTGCTAACTTACCTTGACCTCCTTACTCTACATGTGAGTAGACAATACACCAGTGTCCCACCTCTGTGCCTCTGGCCACAGATCCTGCTGTTAACTGATCCTGTCCTATCTTACAAGTAAGAACAGGACCTGGACCCACCTCATTCTAAGAACCCTCTCCCAGAATCTTGCTCCATCACCCCTCCGGCCCCTTTATATTCCCTAGCTAATTCTCTCCTTGACCTGTCCTAGTCCCACCCAGTCCCTTTTCCTTTGCACCACTAACCTTGGAAGATGGACGGCCTGCCGTGTGGGATGCTGCTGGCCTATAGCTCATTGAAGATGGACTCTGGTCTCTGTTACCTCCTCCCAGTCTCTCTTCTGTTTCTGAATTTCCATTCCTTCTGATGTGTCAGAAATACCTGTCTCTGGAGCCCTTGGTCTTCCTGCTCAGTGTCTCTCTTAACTGGCTCTGTTTAAAAACAAGATTTTTCAATTTTTTTGTTGTTGTTGTGTGCTGTCAAGCTGAAACAAATGGATAGCTGATCCTTTCCAGTGGGTTTCAGGGGCAGTAAATCACATGGGAGGAAAATGCCCCATCTCTCCTGTGGAGCAGTTGGTAGGTGTCGAACTGCATACCTTTGTGTTGACAGCACAGTTCCTTATTACTAAGCCACCGGAGCTCCCTTTTTCAATTACAAGACAGTCTTAATGAGCCAGATTCCTTGTTCGTTTCAAATAAGTGAGCAAGTCAAAAACCTCTCTCCACCCCATTTTTCTCGAAGTCAGGCCTTTTTCAGTGTATTCATATAAACTTGAATTTACTGGTAATTTTTAAACTGTTTATGCTAATAATGTCTGCTTGTTAGAACAATCCAAGTGTTAAATACTGCTTTTTATTCCTTAAGATGTCCATCCATAAAAACAGAAAAAAAAAATCAAACTTGTATTGTGAATTGTATAAAGGTTTGAGTAGTTTTTCATCTAAATTGATGAAATATGTACATTATAGGAGAAAATTTACAGAGTAAATATGCTTTCCATTAAAAAAAAAGATGTCCGCCCAATAGCAATCATAACATTTTTTAGTGGATCTTGACATTTTCTGTGATAAAGTGTATAGTTTTTCTGTAATTGAGATAAGTACTACACAGAATATTGCAGTGTATAGTTGGCTAATCATTCCTTTGCCAACCCCAAAGACAAAGATTCAGTTTATAGAGATCCTGGTAATACAGTATAAATAACGAGGGAGAAAGAATTTTACTTGCATTAAACCAACTTAAGATAGTCACGAGAGTGGACCCTGTTGTAAACAGGGAACTATTCGTAGTCATTTATCAACAGCTTACCTTTTTTCAGTGCTTTATCTTTCACATCTTTCCACATTATGGTCTCTTCATTCTTTTAAATTATTTTTCTTTATTGTACATGAAAAAGCAGTGAATGAGAACTTTTGAGTGATGGGGCTGTCCTCCTTGGACCTGTGGTAGTGGATATATGACTGTATTTATCATTCAGGATACAGGAAGGTAGATGGAGTGCAAACTGTCCAGTAAATTCCTGAGTTACAAATGAATCCCATTTAATGAATGGGAAAGAAAACTTGACTTGGAAAAAGTGTCTTGACAAGATACTTCAGGCTAAAACCAAGGAGTCTAGTTTGCACCTCCTAGGACCTTGGTTTAGTAATTCTGAAACTCCCTTTGTGTGTGTACACATACATACTTGTTGATGTGTGCCATAAAGTTAGCTGACCCCCCAGTGGGTTTTCAAAGGCAGTTGATCGCATGGTATAAGATTGATTTAATATTGGCAACATATACACACTAGGGTCAAAGAAATCTTGCTAGAAATTACTAAGGAAAGAGTGATACAGCACATTATTTTCTATGGCCCTTCCAACTACGTTGTGTGTACTTTTTGAGTCAGAAATGACTCCTGGCTGACCCTCCAGCACGCGTTCAGAGGTAGTAAATCACAAGAAAGGAGATTGCCCATCTTTCTACCTCAGAACAACTGGTGGAGTCAGACTGTGTGTCTTTGGGTTGGCAGCACAGCTTAGTACTAGGCCAGAGCACCGCCTTCCAACCATGACCAGAAATAGTTTTTACCTGTGTTTGTGATCTCCTTATGGAAAGAGTTGCCTGAATGTTAATAAGACACTATCTCTAACTAGGAGATAGGACCCGAGTGACCACCTTTGGTTTGCTTGTGGGCATGGACTATAAGCAACATGGGAATACATGGGGGAGGTTTGAATTTTTCTGCTCCAAATCCTGCATCTGACCTCATCCAGCTGCCTGAATACCTGAATACTACTGCCTGTGTGTTGTGGATCAACCAAGCCTTCTAGACTGCCATCTTGATCCATGGACTTGAGAACTCCCAGCGGACAGGGCAGAATGGGTCACTTTAAGTCCCGCCTTAGGAATGTCTTGTTCGCTTCTCACCCCGCCCCGCGAGCCTCGTTCCGGCCTGTAGCCCCGCCCCGCGAGCCTCGTTCCGGCCTGTAGCCTCGCCCCACGAGCCTCTTTCCCGCCTGTAGCACCGCCTCTAGAGCTTCGTTCCCGCTTATAACCCCACCCTCCGATCCGTTACCACGCCCCCACAGCCTCATTCTCACGTCACACCACGCCCATTAGCCTCGTTCCCCCCTCTCGTTCCGCCCCGCGAGCCTCGTTCCCGGTTCTGACCCCGCCCTCCAAGACCCGATCCCGCCCTCCGAGGCTGGGCCCCGCCTTCCGAGCTTCAAACTTCGCCCTCACAGCGTCACCCCCTATTCTAACCCAGAACTTTAAAGTTTGTTCTTTGCTGGGGTCTTTTTGCTCCTGGTCGCGACCGACTGCTGACGCTAAGGTTGTCCTGACACTGTCCTTGTGAGGAAAGAGGAGTCTCCCGGCCGCGCCCGCCGCCCCGCTGGCTCTCCCCTGGGCCGCCGACTCCGGTCGCCTCCGAAGCGGCATGATGGTCACGTTGAGCGATCTGCCGGACTCGGTGCTGTTGGAGGTTTTCTCGTACCTCCCGGTGCGGGACCGGATCCGCATCTCCAGGTGCGGCGCAGCCCGCGGGGGAAGGCCGGGAGGGGGTGCCCCCGGGGGTTCGTTCTAACGGCGGGTCCCCTCCACCCCCCCAGGGTGTGTCACCACTGGAAGAGGCTGGTGGACGATCGGTGGCTCTGGAGACACGTCGACCTGACCCTCTACACGGTACGCGGGGCCGGCCGGCGGGAGGACCCCCCCCTTGGGGCGGTGGCTTGGGGGACCCCTCCCTTGGGACGGTGGCTTGCGGGGTTCGGGCCTCGAGTATGCGAGACGGGTCCGTGGGCACGTCATAGCTCAGCTGCTCGCCTGCGACCTGGGCCGCCGTTACCTCTAACTGCGCTAAGCCTCAATTGTTCCAGCTCTAAAATGGGCATAAACAGTACCTCTCTGCCAGTAAGTACCTGACGGTGGAGGTGCACAGGGGTCGGTGGGCACCGGGGTCGTGCTTGGAGCAGCGCCTGTCTTAGTTCGCATTGCAGGAAGGGACATTAGCACGGGGCTGCCAGCCCAAAGGATGGAGAAACACCTTCTTCTAGAAACACATCTTCCAGAAACACCTGGAAGAAAGGCCTGGCAAACTGCTAACAAAAAACCTGGCCACCCTGTGGGTGACCTCAGACACACATGGAATTGATTCCAGGGCAACTGGTGCTGGTGGTGATAGGCTTATATGATCTATCAATTTGATGCACAAATAATTTTTTTTTTTACAAATAATTTTTTCAGAGTGAACTTAATTTCTCGAATTAATTATCAAAAGAATCCAACCTAACTGTGCTCTTATTTTTCTTGTTTTTATTAAGAAATCTTTCAAAACAGCCAGAAATACATTCAGGGTACTGTAACAAACCCTTACCTATTTTTGTGGCTTACTGTGTCGTATTGAGATTGATTGATTTTAACTTTTGGCCTTATTTGCTGCAGATCATTCATGTATGACAGACGTGCACATGTGGATTTAGAGAGCTGAAACCTCACAGTTAGGACTTAGAAGGGACTGTCTTTAATTCTTGGTGTCTTGCAAATCTTCCAGGCACAGTCTTACCACTTCTCTCTCTGTTGCTGATGGGTTGAAAAAGATTTGCGTTTTCCTTTTCTGCCTTATGCAGGTTTCAGTTATTGCAAGTTTTATTATGTTTTATTATTCCAGAGGAATAAGACACCTTAAATTCACATGTATTCTATGAATACCTCTTTTTTTAAAAAAAAAAAAAGAAAAAGAAAAAAGATATTGTTGGGAGCTTTGGTAGGCTAGTGACAAGAAGCTATACTGCAATCCCAGAGGTAGGCAGTTCAAATCCACCAGATGCTCTGCTGGAGAAGGAGGGACAATCTCCAGTACCAGTGAGATGCGATTTTTTTTTTTTTTTTGTGAGATGCGATTTGAACACACACATTATAAATACATATAAATATATAAATTAATATCTATAAAGATATTGTCAAAGACAGACAAACCATTCCAGTGATGGGGGAACAACTATAGTGGTAGTGAGAATGGTCCATTGTGTCAGGGTCACTGTCTTTTTTTAAATAACATGTCATCCTTTTTATTTTGTATAGTTTTAATTTCAGAACACAATAAGCAAAACTCATAATACTCATTAATACACAAACCCAACCTTCCTCCTTGAGGAAGGGGTTGAAGCGTGAGGCCCTAACATCCTGCCTTAAACACAGGACAGGAAAGAAAAGCTCTCAGTAAATGGAGCCAGGTGGGAGAGGGCGATTCAAAGCTGAGGTGGGAGCCACAGGGATGCTCTACAGGAGGAGATGGGAGGGTGTTAGAGATGGAAACTTTGTTTGTTTGTTTTTACTAGTTTATTTACAAGATTCTAATACAAATTCAAACAAATTCTTTCAATTTCCCTCACCCTCCCCATCAAATTCTACAATTCAATGATTAATCCCCTCTTCCCCACCCCCCATATCCACAGCCCTCTGCATCCACACCCCTGCTGGATCCTTATACTCCTTCTACATTATACAATGTTTATCCTTGTTGGGACTGAGTTAGTTCACTCAGCATAATGCTCACCAATCCCTCCCAAGTTAGGTAATAATTTACAAAGTTATCGCTCCTGCGTGCTGCATAGTATTCCATTGTGTGAATGTACCATAATTTCTCAATACATTCGTTTGCAGTTGGACATTTGGGCTGTTTCCATGTTCTTGCGATGGTGAATAATGCTGCTGTAAACATTGGTGTGCAAATCTCAGTTTATGCATCAGTTCTCATATTCTTGGGATATATTCCCGGTACTGGAATAGCTGGGTCATGTAGAATTTCTATGTTCAGCTTTTGGAGGAAGCGCCAAGGTGCCTTCCAGCATGGTTGCACCATTTTGCAATCCCACCAACAATGTTTAAGAGTTCCTTTCTCGCCACATTCTCTCCAAAATCTATTGTTTACTGTCCTGTTAAACTTTCTACAGGTTGTTGTTGTTGTTGTGTGCCGTCGAGTCGTTTGCGACTCATAGCGACCCTATGCACAACAGCCCTAAACCCTGCTCTATCCTGCGCCAACCGCACTGCCTCTGACACACCCATCCCGATTACCCCAGTCACCGAATCAATCCATCTCATAGAGGGTCTTCCCCTCCTGCGCTGTCCCTCCACCCTCCCAAGCATGATGTCCCTTTCCAAGGACCTGTCCCTCCTGGCAACATGTCCAAAATATGTCAGACAAAGCCCCAGAATCCTTGCTTCCAAGGAGTAGCTTGGTTTAATCCTCTCCAAGATGAATCTGTTTGTTTTCCTGGCAGTTCATGGTACATTCAGTACTCTTCTCCAGCACCACAGCTCAAAGGCATTAACTCTCCTTCTATCCTCCCTAGTCATTGTCCAACTCTCTGATGCATAACAAGCGATTGCAAAGATCATGGCCTGTATCAGGTGCACCTTAGTCTCCAGAGAGACATCGTTGCTCTTGAGTACTTTAGAGAGGTTCCTAACAGCAGACTTTCCCATCACGATACAGGTAGCAACTTTTAATTGACTTCTTCCATGCAAGATGCATCCTCCTCACCCTCAAGCGGGGGATCTCATCTGTCACCTCATCATCCATGCATAAGCTTACCTTATACAGTAGATGTGATTGGAGTGAGTCTGGGGATCCTCAGGGGAGAAGCCAGAAGATGACAGTGCACTTTCAAACAGCAGCACCACCAGGTCCTTCCTTAACAGCCTTGTCATACTTGTCAGCTTCAGCTTTCTGTCTCAGCGTCTCAACAATCGGATGGATGATCAGGGCTTTTTGGTTGTCATACAGCCAGTTGTAGAATTGTCCCGAAGTGCCTGTGCTTTTGTGATCTGCTCCATATTGATTGTCCAGCCATGTGCTGGTCTCAGAGCAGCAGCGTGAAGGTACGGGTCTGTTGGGGATTGTCACCTTCTCGACCTTCTTACCCTAATTTTTTTTTTTACCCTAAATTTCCTTCATGAGCTTACTTCACAGAGGTTCTCCAGCTTGGTCTTGCTCTCCTCCATTTTCTTTTTCTCCTCTTCATCCTCAGGAAGTTCTAGGCCCCCCTTTGGTAGTGGAGACCAGACTCTTCCAATCAGACTCCTTGAGCTGCTGCACACAGTGTTTGTCGATAGGTTCCGTCATATTCACGGCTTCAAAGCTCCACTCATGCGCTCACAAAAGCAGAGCCAGTCACTTGCTCTTTGCTCTCACCTGTGATGTAATAGTTGCACTCTGGTCTCCTTCATGAGAGACAGTTATTCTGAGAGAGAAGACATCTATTCTCATCTCCAGACTGAGACGTGTATTAGCAAAGTAGCTGAGAGAGGCGATGCCGGTTAGTAGAGGCCTCATGGATTCCAAGGTTTAGGTTTTTAGAGAACGCCTCATAGAATTTCTTGTAGTTCTTCTTGTCTTCTGCCAATGCAGAGAAGAGCTCAAGGCACTTCCTGACAAGAATTTTGCAGATGACCTTCAAAATTTTGCTGTGTTGCAGCATTTCTCAAAAATTGTTATGGGGCAGATCTTCAGCGTCACCTATACCACGGATGAAGTTCAGATACTCAGCTGTCCATGATGAACACAGAGCGAACATAAAGTTTAATGTTGTTCTTCTCAAAAGGAGCTGCACGAGGGGTGAACAGCAGTGCCCTGCCTCCCAGCCGACCTGCTGAGAAGTGCTGGCCTGCCAGTGTTCTTTCCAGGCATTAGTAAGGCTCCTGTAGGACTCTTCATAGTCCTCCTGTGTGGTGTCCTCAAGATTTCTGGTCCAGAGGGGCATATTCTTGTTCAGTTCCTCCCATTCAATATATTTCTCCTGAGTTTTTCCTTTTTTTTGTACTTAGCACTGTCATCCTCCTCATCTGAACCCACATCTTCTATTGATGCTTCTCTCCCCCCTCTTTTTCTTGTTGTGTACCCTCGAATTAGATCCAGCTGACACAGGAAACCCTCCCTGCTTCTCCAATGGAGCACCCGGTGGATTTGAACCATGCACCTTTGGGATTGCAGTGCAGCTTCTTGCCACTTGGCTACCAGGGCTCCCTTGTAGGTTTCTCTTTCTTCATCCTTGTCTTCCTCTTTCTCTTCTTCTGCCTCATTGTCACTGATTGCCTTTCCTTGTTTTTCTCCAAATAAAGGGTGATAGGGTAGCCTGTGTACTGCGAGTGCTTCTTCACCACTTCTTTGACTTGTCTCTCCTCTAAATAATCTGTCTGGCCTTGTTTAAGGTGCAAAATCACTTTAGTACCCCGACTCATCATGGTCAACACAAACTGAAGAAACCCTCAGTTGAAGACTCGCAGGCGTACTGCTCATCAGCTTGGTGTTTTGTGATCACTATCCCTTCCTCTGTCGTCAAATAGGCAGAATAAAAGCCAACAGCAAACTGACCAGTCGTGGAAGTCTGCACCAGCTTGCAGAGCCTCCATAATCAATTTGGGACCAGATTTCACAATTGTCCCTAAATTATGAGATCAGCCTTGGTCATGCCAATGCCTGTATCCACAAGTGTCAAAGGACGTTCCAGGGCATTGAGGGTGATGTAGATTTTCAGGTCTTTACCACTGTCCAACTTGGAAGGGTCTGTCAGGTTCTCATAGTGAATCTTGTCCAGTGCATCAGAAGCACAGGACAGGACATCAACTGGCTAAGGAAAATTTCTGTGTTGGACTTCCTCAGGCATTTTGATGGAAAGAGC